GAGGAGCTCTCAGTAGGGAGGCTAGGACGTTTTCTTCAAATCGCTTCGACTCGATTTCTTCAAATCTTTTTCGATTTGTTTCTGCTTCGTCTCAGCATCGACCCGACTGCAACACATCGGCAGCGTCACCACCGTCGAGAATCGTTCGTGTCGTCCACGATCGTCACTCTCGGCTACGTTCGGTTGCGGAGTACTGACCAGCAGGGAAATTAGATTAATTACAGCTAGCGAGGTATTCAGTCACAGAGAAACAAAAGCGCATTAAATGGGCCATTTCTTCCTCAATCCTCCGGAAAAAAAACTAAGGATGCTGGATAGGGAGTAAGTGGGAAGAAAACAGGTAAGAGCAAACCAAATGAAGATCATTACCGGAAGTGCACTAGTCGGCAGATGGACAGTTATTCCAAAATTAAGAAGAAAAAATGAAAATATTTTGGAGGAAGCAATGCCAAACTGTTCACTAACCATAGGCTCGTAGTGATGATTCAGGGCGTGGAGCTATAACAGTAGCAAGCTGCCGTTGTGCGTTTTCGATGACAATATCATAATCTGTTTTCTGATAACGGACCACACCCAGTAGTGATGGAATCGCTGCTTTTCTCGATGTCACTTTTTGATCACGTTTTCGCTGTTGATCCATTATCTAAAAAGTATATCTTTCGCTGTTGATCCATGCAGTCAAAACAAATAATTGGTCAACGTACGGGCTGCCCGTGCGATGATGCGTTTTTTGCATAGCTCCCCGCAGAATTTTGTCGCTAATGCCACTGGTTTTTCTAGCAGATGCTTCAAGCTAAAATAATTTCAGACTGGCCGCCAGGACTGTCAGGAAACATCCCTTCAAAATCCCAGTCTTCTAGCTTCTCACTTCCCTGAGTTAGCAACTTACCCGGAAGAAACTTTCAAGAGCCCGTACGTAGGTATCACGCTTACCCGTAGGGAGGGTTTGAACTCGTTAATACCTACCTGGACGGGGAACATTGCCCTAAGACTTCAGCGTTCTAGCTTTTCAGATCCCCGAGTTACGAACATACCCCAAAAAAATTTTGGCGGGCCTGTACGCGGGTGTTGGCGCCCATTTTGGGGACTGGGGCCGGCACGTGCATGTAGATTAAGTTCCCGAAATTTC